TACTTGAATAACGCCACCGGAGAGTGTCTGTTCATGCTATTGCAGCAAGTTTTCATGAAGGGCACTATACTGTTTCTTGAGAAATTCCCTCATATTGATATACTTAAAATGTATTAGTATAATCTCAAATGTGTGCAAATCGAGTCGCCTCCAGATATTTTACTCATTTTCTTTCAGAATTGGCAAACATCATTTCAGTTGAAATAAGAACATCAGCAAATCTGCTAAAATATTAAATTTTAACATTTCCTTATATTTTCAACAGTTCCAATATATATATATATATATATATATATATATATATATATATATATATATATATAGAGAGAGAGAGAGAGAGAGAGAGAGAGAGAGAGAGAGAGAAAAAAACAGAAAACGATAAATGAAGGAGAGTAATAGCAAGAAATGAAAGAAAGGAGAAAAACCAATTTACTCGCAAATTTATTCTAATTCAATGCAGAAACATGAGATCATTGTAAAGGAAATTAGTAGAAAATATAAAGAACACAATTCAAAATGGGGTTAGGGTAAAAGAGAGAGGAAAACGTACGCACATACACACACATATGAAGCCCACACATAAAATAATACATTTATACAATTTCGGATCCAAATCATTTATAAATTGTGATGATTGTTTTTTAATCTGAAAAATCAAATTTGTTTTTCCGAAAAATTGATGTCGTCAAAAATATTTCAAGAATTGTAATTGAGAGACATTTTTCTTCCTTATCCTGAACGATTTTTCCGGAAGAAACTTGCAATGTTCAAAAGAAGGAAAAAAGATGCTATTCGTTATTGAACAAAAGAATTTGTGGGCAGCAAAACCATGAAATCCGTTTTCTTTTTGTTTTTTTCATCGAGCAACATGGACGTCAGTATCAGAACACTTTATTGTGTTGATACATTTTAGCAGTCAATAGATGTACGATAACGAGGAACATTTTTGTTCGTTATTAATGCGTTGGCGTCTTTCTTTCTACAACTTATCATTTTTACTACAACTTATCTTTTCTATAAGATTCATCGGTTGATTATAATTCATGAACATTATTGAAATAAAGATTGAATTTTGTCTGGAACAATTATAACCACTGTTGCCACATTCAGTTAATTTTGAAAGCTCAGCGCTATTTGGAAAATAAGCTGGGATAACTTGGGCTATTAAGAGGAAAGCCAACTGAAAATTTAGTAGACTAGGTTTTCAGATGTAGTCTAATTAGTTACTTGTTCCGATTTTAGGAACTACTCACATTCAACAAAGTTGTTCAAACAGCCCACTAATGTTTAAGCAGACATTAGTTATTATTATATATATATATATATATATATATATATATATATATATATATATATATATATATATATATATAATTTCGTCAAATCTCCTCGTGAACGTTGAGGGAAAGGTGTTCTTCAAGGTGTTTGCCAGAAGGTTGGCGAGCCACCTGCTCTGGAATAACTCCATACACACTAGTATCCAAAAGGCAGGTGTTCCAAGTTTTCCGGGGTGCTTGAATTTGGCCAAAGATCCTCGAGGCTAAGACTGCAAGGAAGAATATTCACGTCATCCGGCTGGATCTTGTTAACGCGCACGGTTCAGTTTCCGTTAATATAACAGGCTAGTGGACAAGAGCAACGCAAGTTATAGGAAAAAGGGGTTTCGTAAGGTCGAGGAAGTGAGACGATTGGTGCAGCCTTGTCTAACAAGCTCAGCCGAGTCAAAGGCTCAACTGAGAGGGAGTTGATGGTGTTCAGATCAGTTAGTTCGATTGGTGGCGTCTCAGCGCAGGGCATTTAAAATTTTCCTCATTCAGTCATCATATGATGCTGTGGTATCACCGGCAAATTTGAAGAGATGGGGAGTTCAGGAGTCATCCACCTACCGGTTGTGTGGTACGTACGGAAACCTGCGCCATATGCTGTCATCCTGCCCGAAGGCGCTACAGAATGGCTGGCACACCTTTAGACATAACTTGGTTCTGGAGGTGGTGGCAACAACTTCAAGAAGTGCTAATATACATTTGTCAGACCCTGCAAAGGATTGCCTCCCTGAAGCAAGGTGTATCTAGTAAGAGCCAGAAGACCAGGTTGGAGGGCTCAAGGACGTGGACAAGTGTTGGTTCTTGCTACACTGGCAGGGGAGATTATTGTGTCTGGACTGAGGCCAGATCTAGTATTGATTGATAGTGAAAAGAAGTGTCTGCTGCTTGTATGACGGTATGAGGAACTGGTGGCTGAGGTCCGTGAGAAGGGATAAGGCTGCAGCCTAGTGAGTACCGTTTGAGGTTGGCTGTAGAGACTTTCCTGCTGCTTCCTTAAAGAGATTCCTCAAGTGCGCTCGTATCCAAAAGCCGAATAAGGCGATAAAGACATGTGGCGAGAAAGCGATGGAAGGCAATGCGTTGATAACCAGGAAGTTCGTATTCGGAGTTGCGTCCAGCTAATGACATAGACTGGCTGCAACATAACATCATCCAGATGTTGCAGGGCCACCTGTGTGGAAATGTACTGAGCTTAATGTGCCGAAAGCTTTTTGAAGCACGGCGCTCAGCTGAAGATTGCAGCTCGCCTGGTGCACGATGTGTCCATGCGTTTATATATATATATGCTAATTTATAATAACACTATTCTTCATTAATATATAATTAGTTTAAAATATATTAATGAAGAATATGTTGATAGATTTTATTATATTGTGTCAATAACAAAATCGTCTCTACTTAGTTTAATTCTTGATCACAGTACCTACTCTATAATATAAAACACAATGTAACTTTGTATATATGTCGGTTTTGAAACCTAACCTTCCCTATTTACAAGTGTGATATTCTGCTATTATTGTAGAAGGATGTCATTAAAACTCGTAAAACTAACGAAATATCTCATTAGTAAATAGGGAAGACGTCTTATTAATTTCTTTTGTTTCCTATTAGTTTTCTTCATATATATATATATTTTTTACTTTTAATGGATTAAAAAGCAAAATACTTTCTTAAATGCGGTAATAAAGTTAATAGTATAAATAAAAATCTTAGCTGGTTCATATAACTAATGCAATTGCAAAATTATCTTAATATAATATATAACTATAATTCTTAACGATATAGGTTCACTATTTATCTTAAGACGTAAAATATTTAGAAAACCAACTTAGCAGGGAGCATGTTTTTTTGTTTTTCTTTTTAAATATTTCATGTCTTAAATTGCTCTACATTTTCTTTTTTTTTAAATAGTATTGAGCGCTTTTTCATTAATTTAACCGTTTTTTGACAAATATTTATTTCGTCAAAAGTTTGATTTTTTAAATTATATATATATATATATATATATATATTAGCAAATTTCATAAGCTCAACAAAAACCATTTCAGGGATATCCGGAGGTGACAAACTACTTCGATATAACATGTTGCAACAAATATCGATTGTTTCCAACACGGGAACACAGGTAAACAGAGAGCATACGTCAAACGAACACATAAATTTATTTTTTGAAGGAGTATCACGAATAATCTGAGCAAACGAAAAGGAATCTTTAATCGTATACGCACTGAAGTGTTCAACAACAGGTTGAAGAAGGTTTGAAAGAAAACTAGCAACCTTATGTTGAGACGAGCCAGTCATGGACAGGATGGGTCGGAGGGGTACATTTTCCTTATGAATTTTGGGAAGGCCATATAGACGAGGACGAATAGATCCAACAGGTCTAATATCATCCATGATTTCACGAGGTATTAACCCACGTTTGGCCCAAGATAAAAGTTTCTTTTGAAACTTAATTTCTAAAGGAACAGTACGATCATGTGTCTCCACTGGACCAAGAGGAAGAAATTTAGTAGTGTCGCTAATAATGTTATGCATATATATATATATATATATATATATATATATATACACAGATATATATATATATATAATTGTAAAGACTCATAAATACACATTTGAGTAATGTTTCCGCTATCACTTATTATATTTATTTATATGTATATGTATGTATGTATGTATGTATGTATGTATGTATGTATGCATACACACACACATATATAAGAAAACGATGTTATTAACATTGAAAAGCAAAAAAGTCATCTACGTTTTTAATATTAAATTTTAAGCGGCAGATCTGTTGTCAAGTTATTATTTACTTGTAATTTTATACTGTCATAGTTTGCCAATATTCAGAAAAAAAAAGAAAAAAAAAGAAAGAAATGATTTAGTTTTATCATAAATTTGAAGTCTCTGACATTTCTTTCTGAAGTTCATCTTCAGTTACAGGGAGTAGCAATAAGTACATAGTCCAAAAGTCTCTATTTTTCTAGGCACTTAAGATTTGTTAGATTCTACATGAATGATAAAACACGACAGCATTCCTTAACATGTACACCGGTTTCAAAGTCAGACAATCTTCAGAAATCAAATCTCTAGTCTGATACATATGGATTCTTAATTCAGGCTGAATGAATGATTGGCATATTTGTTAAAATAATAAGAAGAGACCATTTCTTTTCTTCATTGTAAAAGATTAACCTTGCGTTCCTATTTAAATCACAACATTTCAAATGCATTGAATTCCAATATACACAGTATCTTGTATGAAGCAGTGAGTGAAAGCAGATGGCAAAAAGACCTAAAACAAAAGGGATATCGTAACACAAAATGAGACTTTTTTTTGTATTTCATTACAAACAACTTGGGAGCAAATCAAACAAGTGTTTAATAGAAAGACAAAAAAGTTACATCGCTGCAAGGCATTCATTTTGATCTCTTCAGAGCGTATTTTAATGAAAACGGATTGTTTTATTGTCTATGCGTTCATTCCATTAGTATGATTTACCGCTATTAAAATAATAATAAAAATTGAAACGAGGCTAGAGATTCAGAATTAATAAAAGAAAATATTACACGGTATTTAAACTGGTTCCTATAGTCAGTGATTTCAGTTTATTTTAGCAAAATATTCTTAAATTTTCAATATTTCCATTATTCCAGAAAATGACCGCTTACGGTCGCATCACGTTGAAACATTGGTTCTTGTACGTCCACAGAAGTTAAGAAATGTCGAGCCTGGTCAGTACTTAGATGGGTTACCATCAGGGAATACCAAGTGCTATAAGTTTGAATATGCTGTTAGTGCAGTGTATAATGACACGGAATTGTTAATCGGAGAGCCGAGTTCCAATTCCAGTTATGTTCGTTATATTCACTTACGCACAAATACATTTGGGAAAGAGATGAATCCACCTCTTCTCCTCCTCCTCCTCCTCCCAGATATGGAATAATTAGTATCGCTAAATCATTATTATCTAAAAAAAAAAAAAAATTCTTATACAGTAAAAAAATGTTTTCTAGTTTTAAATAACTTGCAGAGGGTAGATAAGTAGTAGAAAAGTAATCAATCAAAATCAAATCAAAAAATGATCATTATTAAACTTCATAATTTAAACTCACTTGATAAATGATCATTATTAAATTTCATAATTTAAACTCACATGATAAATGATCATTATTAAATTTCATGATTTAAGCTTACATGATAAATGATCATTATTAAATTTCATAATTTAAGCTTACATGATAAATGATCATTATTAAATTTCATGATTTAAACTCACTTGATAAATGATCATTATTAAATTTCATAATTTAAGCTTACATGATAAATGATCATTATTAAATTTCATGATTTAAACTGAGACACCTTAATAAAAAATAGATATTAAGGTGAGAACTTCTCGGTTTCTTTTTTGATTCATCAGAGAATGTACGAATGTCTGATTTTCTGGGATGGGAAGTCTTTTTTTTTTAAAACGTTTCACCCCAAGCAAGGCTGGAGTGCCACTAGAACGCAAAGGGTGACAGAGAGTGGGAGCAAGAGGCGTGAAAGAGGAAAGGATGAAGAGAAGAACGGGGAATAGATGAAGGCATCTGGAGAGGTCGATTGACATTGCATTTGAATATTTGGAGATTATAGCTATCAGGGAAGCAAGTAAGAGGAAGGGAGTTCCACAGACGGGAAGTGCAAGACATGAAACTATTGGAGTAGAAGAGTCGGCTACACTTAACGGTTTCGACAGTGAAAGGGTGGGACTGAGATGCCGACCTAGTGGCACGTTTAGATTCATGCAGTTTGGGAACTAGGGGAAATAGATCGTCGGAGCAGTTGCCGTGAAAATATTTGTAGAAAGGACAGAGGGAAGCGACAGCCCGTATGTGAGAGAGTGACTTTAAACGAGATGCTAGATCAGGGCCAGCAATATTGCATATCCGTCTCTGGATTTTGTCGAGGACCCTAACATGAACAGCGGGGGATCCAGACCATATATGACAGCAATATTCCATGCAAGGGCGAATGGTAGATTTATAGATTTGAAGGATTGACTCTGGTGAGAAAAAACTTTCTGACGCGACACAGAGAATCAACTTTCTTTGTGGTAGATTAAGCTATTGATTCAATGTAAATGTTCCATCTCAGGTCAGTGGACCAAGCAGTCGCAAAGAGGTGCTCTCGTGAAGTTGAGCATCAGACATTCAGGAGGGAGGCAGGGAGTGGTGGGTAACAGAGAGCAGCTTTGTTTTTGAGACATTAAAGTTAACCAGCCATTTCCTTCTGAAGTCAACAATCGATTGGAGGTCCCCTTTGAAGCCAGGTTAGTTTTGTCAGCGATACCAGATTTGCTATTTACACAGGAGTAAATAGTGATGTCGTCTGCATAGATGCCTACTTGGGAACTGATGACATCGGGAAGATCGTTAATAAGGAACAGTGTAGGACTCAGGATAGAATCTTGGGGAACACCTGCGTTCGAGGGAAAGGAACTGGAGGAGAAGGAGAATTCGTTATTACACTGTTTGACGGGAATGATTGAAATACCGTATGGTTGGTATCCCGTTCCTACCGCTAGCCTTATGGGAGTCTAATATAGAGATGATGCCCAATACCAACGATGGGGTTATGTGCAAATCGCTCAACAGAGCCTCAGTTTTAGTGGGGAGGAGGAATCGAGTGTGTGTACACCGGACGAGTCGAGCATTGAACTGGATGAGAATTTACGAGTAAAGCACTCAGCCTTATCAGCTGAGGATGTCAGGATCTCAAATTGGTTGAACAAAGGAGGTATTGTGGGTTTGCTATTGTTTAGTACACTCTTGCAGAGACGCCAATAATCTTTGGAGCCGAATTTGCGTGGATGAAAGCCTTTTACCCAAGATGAGATTATTTACAGTCAGACTCGTCTTTATTGTGATAATCACAATATTTCGGTCGTCATACTCTCGGGCCTTCTTCAGATCTAAGTAACATTCAGGGAATTTCGTACTGAAACCTTTATTTCATATATGACAGGAGCTTTTGGCCCGGAGAGCACAACCGTTAAGACATTGTGATAGAAACAACAAATATAATGAAATTAGTTTGAATGTAAATAAAAAGAAAAAAATATTGTTGCGGGGTGGGGGTGTATTTTAGAAACAGTACGAAGGCTTAGAAATTTATTTGACTTTATATTTGGTATTTTAGTGAATATATATTTATCTACACTATTTACATTATTCATACTGTTGTCCTCGTCTTTATTGTTATATTCCCAATGTTTCGGCCGTTCCACCTTTCAGCATTCTTCAGATGATATACATTGAAATTTAGAACTGAATCCTTTAAACAGTCAACGGGTGCATATTGTTTTAGTTCAACGTTCTGGATATCTCAGTTTCAGTTAATTCCCTTTAGCAACTCTCCAAGTTTTTTATTCGCCTCTCTGTGGCCAGTTATTCTCCCAACTCTTTGTGTTAAGTCACTTTTGGATTATTTCAACCAACGCTTTTATCTACTCGACAATGGACTAAATAAAGGGTTCGGTTCGAAATTCCAACGTAAATCACCTAAAGGAGGACAGAGCGTACAACTGCAAAAACGTCGTGAATATGGCAATAAAGATGAGGACAACGGCCCGAACAATGTAAATAGTGTAAATAGTTACAATACTTCATCTCAGAAATATAGACAGATATATTTATCTGTTTATCATAGATTAAGTAGATAGTGGAAAAAGCCTTCATACAATAAGACATTGTTTCAGAAATCAGTTACACTGGCTAAATTTGTATCACATTAAACCTAAGATTGTTTTGCTCGAAGTCGGACAAAATCCTTTCTAGTATGGCATAAAACAAAACAACATTACACTTAACGATAAACTATAAAAATAGTAGCAAAATGTGTTTCGTCACCATTTTTATATGAGAAAATTGCATCGAATTTCTGAGACGGAATCGTCAATGATAAATTAATTAAATTAAACGAATTAAAATAATTAAAGATGAAAATAGCATTCTTCTGGGAAATTCTTCAGATAATGATGGCAGAAAGACACATATATGCATATACATACACGCAAACATATAGCACATCTCTTAACCCCATCTTGCATTCACATATTCTGTAATACATACGAATAGACATTATACACAAACACTATTGTACTCTATTCAGGTGCTAAAGCATCAACCCATTCTTGAACAAACGCTTACACTTTCGTTAATTTGATACAAATCTTCGTCGAGGACACTTCTGTGTCTCAGGTGTCATTCGCCTGAGTGTACTGGGGATCGAACCCTTGCATGAGTTTTCTCTCTTTCAGTAAAAGGGAGATATTAAGATATACATTAAAGTCTGCTGTTAAAATCAAAATTCCGGAGGCTGTTTTTCAAATTATCTTTGGGGCTATTAGTTAAATACCTCATCAGATGAATACACACACACACACACACACACACACACACACACACACACACATGTATGTATGTAAAAATTATTTTCAGATAGAGAGTGTCTGTAAAGGAACAAGATGAATAAAAACACAAAATTATTGTTATCCGACGCGTTTTGTTCTCTGGGGAACTATATATATATATATATATATATATATATATATAAAGATATATATAGACACATACACACACATGAATATATATATGTATGTATTTGTGTGTGTGCGTGTGTAAATAATTCATTTGTTTCTTCTTTACAAAACGTATTTTTCATGTTTGCTAAACGTCTTTTTATGTTAAAAAACGAGAGGTAGCATAACGGACTGAGAAAAAAAAGAAAAAGAAAAAGGAAAAAGAAAAAAGAAAAAGAAAAAGAAAAAAGAAAAAAGAAAAAGAAAAAATAAATCTTCGAACCAATGAAGATTAAATTTTGTTTTTAGTGCTACTCTGTACCGTGTTTAAATCAGGATCGAGGCTAATATCTTGCGCTGATGGCTTTATTAAAAGCTTATTGTTTCCTGTTGTTTTGCCAATCATATTGTCAGGGACGTTAGATGCCTAAAAACTATAGTAGATTCATTATTATAATACATTACATTACATTACATTACACACACACACACACACACACACACACACAACACACACACACACACAACACACACACACACACACACACACACACCAGACCCTTAATATTCATAAAATCAGACAGAAAGTATTGATGAGTGTTATTAGGTTCTTTGAATTATGTTTGCCTTGGAGCAGAAGAATAAATTAAAACTTTTTTTAATAAATTCTTCCATCGAAGTTTTGACAAAAATCAATATTTTCATAACAACCCAGGAATTTTTAGCACTCCAGGAAATCTAGGCAATAAAGAGACAAGAATTACCCACTGAACTTCTCATCAGGCATCTCAGCAAGTTTTGTTGTAAGTTATACAATCTTATCTATGTTTTCTTAGCTACAATATCTTAAATACATTGATGAAAAATAAAAATTGCAAAGCCCTGAATATCTGTTTCAATTCATTCAAGATTAAGCGTACAGGTTATATTACTGGATTAAGTAAATAGTCTCATATAGAGATCAATAAATAAACAGATTTCAAAGTAAGGGGTCTATCAATAGCATTCATATTAATACATTCTTTATTTTCGTTGGGTGTTACCAAAGGCAGCTACGTTCATATGCAACTAGATTGGCAACTAGGTCTCATCGTTTTACTATTGAGCTTGAATAGGTTAACCGTAATTTCTATTCCAATAGTATCTTTTCTCGCACTTCTCACTCGTGGAACTGTTTTGGCTTCTTGCTTCCCTGCCATCTATGGTCTTCAAAA